CGACCATCGAAACAAAACCGCATTTCTCCAGTCTTATTTTTTACTAAAAGTAGGGCTGAACACCAAGAACTTAAAGATGGCTCTATCACATCTACCTGTATATCATCCAACTCTTTATTGACCAAATTTTAAATGTGAGGATACATTGTGTATTGTCTTAATTTAAAAGGTTTTGCATCACCTGGATTAATTTCTAACATTAATTTATCCGTACAACCTATAGGTCAATTATAAAAATAACACTTATTTGTCCAGGATGACAGTAAAGTATTTTGTTTGTTTTCTGTAAAAATGACTTTTTCAGAAAAGAGCAGAAGCGAAAAGAGTGATTCAATCTTTTTAGGAGATTATAATCTCCTAAAAAGATTGAATCACTCTTTTCGCTTCTGCTCTTTTCTGAAAAAGTCATTTTTACAGAAAACAAACAAAATACTTTACTGTCATCCTGGACAAATAAGTGTTGTTTTTATAATTGACTCCAATATTAAACTAAACAATCTGCAATACATCTCTTGGTACCGTCAGCAGTTCTGATATATCTTTCGGTGGTTTTATCAATTTTTTAATTAAATTTCTTAATTATATCAACACCGTATTCACCTAGAGTCTACTATCTCACAAAGAGACTAAATTTGTATCTTAAACGATAATGTTAATGTTTTAATAAATAATGGAGATATTTTGGGAGTTGACTTATAACTCAGATAAAAATCTTTTACCCTGTCAAGACATAATTCCCAGTCCCGAAAATCGAAAAACTTCTAGCTTAATGTTGTCGGCCTTGGAAAACAATCAAATTTTTTATACGAACTTTTATAAAAAATTATTATATTATATATTAAACATAATATATATATTATATGTTTTGTTTAATGTTAATTTTATATTGTTTTTTTTTTAAGTAATGTTTTTTGTAAATGTTTTATAATAATCTTTATTATAATGTATTGTATACCCTTGTTTTGTTTAAATAAAACATATTTGAACGAACGTTTTTTAATTTAATTTTCCCTCCCAAGTATCAAGTAAATAACATCAAAATAAATAAATCAGAGTATTAAAAAAAGCAAACATTTGTTTGGTTCAATCACTATATATCTCGTGAAATTATAATATTAATTATTTGTCTGAAATAATTTTTTTTCTTTATAAGTAAATATTTTGTTTCTTTAAGTATATATACTATATAGTATATATAAGTATACTTACTATGCTTATAAGCATCACATTTAAAGTAAAATAAAGAATTACTTACTCCAAGTAAATGTTTTGTTTCTTTAAGTAATCTTCTACTAAACCTGAGATAAACAGTCAACTAGATATTTAAAAAGTCAAATAAACCCAAGTTTTCCACTAAATAAATATCTTCTTGTAGATATCGAAATAAATAATTTATTTGGGCCAAGCCAAATGTGGTAAAATCAAGAAGAGATTACTTTTTTATGTGTAGGTGTTTTATTAGTTTAATTTGTATCAGATTTATGAAATTTAGTTTTCAACCTTTTGTCCTTGTCTGATACTGACAACGCCTCTAGCCCTGAACTGCAAGAACCAACATAGGATCCAGGGTACAATGGCTAGAAGGTGGTTGGTACACAGAGAAAAGTAATCTCTTGATTTAAAAAAATGCATTTATTTGAAACAGCTTTTCTTGTATGAAGTAAAATTTTCTTATTCGTAGTAACTTGTTGTTTACAATAAGAAAATACTATTATTTGGTTGTAAATCATAAGTTTCTTGAAAACGACTTGTTGTGATTAATTGTAAAGAAATATTTATTTAGAGCAATTAATTAAATTGTTTGGATGTAGGTTTTGTTTCTTTAAGTAAGCTTCTACTAAACCTGAGATAAAAAGTCAACTAGATATTTACTTTACTTACTACCAAATATCAGTTTAAAAAGTCAAATAAACCTAAGTTTTTCACTAAATAAATATCTTCTTGTAGATATCGAAATAAATAAATTATTTGAGCCAAGCCAAATATAGTCAAATCAAGAGATTACTTTTCAAGTATACTTGTATATTACGCTTAATATATTTTAATTTAGTGACTTCAGCTAAAGAGAGTATTTAAAACTGCTACATATATATGAAAAGGTTTAAATTATTTAAAGAAGACGAAACCGTATTTATAGTACTAGCTTAGTATTAATGGGTATACGTTAAATATAATTAATTGTAAAAAATTATTTTGTATAAGAGAGTAATTTTGGTGTAATTGTACAACACCATGTATATTATAATAAACTAATAAACTTACAAAAATGTATGTTGCAACACAAGGTGTAAATCTAACCAAATATTGTACTTCTCGTCTATGTTCAAAGTAATCTTTAAACACAAATATTAAAATACTTGCTGTAATGATAAAGTTACTTAGACTTATCGGTTTATAATATTTATTATTGTGATTTCCAGAAAAAATATTATACAAAAATAAAACAGGATCCACTAAAAGTATAAAAATACTTAAATAATAAATTGTTTCTTTTTTTATATTTCCTTACCATTACATGAATGTTTAAAAATAATCATTTTATAGTCAAAATCTAACCAGTTAGCAGTGCTTGTTACATTATACTGGATAAATCCGTAAGGATAAAATGAAAGGCTTCTTAGTTGTAATAAACGTATGATTTATTTTTATTTGGTGTATTTAATGGTTTTTTTAAATTAAAGGCAGTAAGCATAATTAATGATACAATACATACATAATGGTTTTGTTCATATAAATAATATAAAGCACAAATGGCGAAGATATTTTGTTAAATGAAATTTCCTCTGTAAAGGGGTCAATAAAATGTATATATTTCTGAGGATTAGCTCTATAAAAATTAATTCCAATACTAATTTAATATTAACTATTTAGTCATTAGTGGCTGCTTTTTCACTTGTACCACTGGTTAACAATGAAATACCATTGTATACCAAATTTTAACAGCCAATTCTAATGTAAAATTGTCCCCTGAATCCGAAAATACCGTCAAAAATTATTGGAGCAGTTTTTGAGATATAGTCAATTCCATATTAAATGGAAAATCAAAATCAAATACTGTATTACTTTTTTAACTTTTGACGAAATTTTCGGATTAGGGGACAATTTTACATAAAAATTGGCTGTTACCATGGTACAAGTGAAAAAGCACCCACTAATAACTATTAAATTAGTCATTTTTGACTAATTCATTTTTATAAAGAGCGTCATCTACCGTTCTTTAGCTAGGTAATACCGTCTTATAATAGATTTCTACTTTACCAACAATACATTAGATATGGTATCGCAGTAGGGCGCTAGGTGTATCATTTTTATGAAATCATAACCAAAAAAGGGGCTTCATGGGGGTTACACCTTGATGGGGGACCCCGGAGCACAGTTGGTGGTCCTCGTATAGAAACCAAACAAGTAAAGCCACCATGCGGCTGTCATGTGAACTGGTGGTCTAGAATCGGCATTGTCCTTCTACTTAACTCTGTAAGCTCCTTTAATCGCCTTTTAAGTATTGCCAATTTAAATAATGGAAATCAATAAATCGTTGTTTTAAATATTTAAACAAATTTTATTGTAGGGCGAAAAATAATTGGGGTAGCTCGCTAAGACACACATGAAACGAAAGAAAATCATTACATTAAAATAATATTTATTGTAAGGACATGTAAGATAATAATTAGTTAAAAATAAAAAAAATACATACGAAATAAAAAATAAACCCTTCTTTAGTTTTAGTTCCACTCTTACTTCCTAAAAACTCCCAAAATCTAACGCTAACGCTTATGCTACTAACATTTTTTTAAATTAATTAAAACTTATCAAATTGTTTTTAATTTTATATAGATAAATTAATTTATTTTTAATTAATTTTTTGCTAAACATTTAGAGTAACATTTTTGTAGTGCGAATATTTCTGTGGGTTAAAGGCATAATTTTTTCAATTACCGAAATTTCTTTTTGTTAGTTAATAATCCTATACAAAATTATTGAAAACATTGCTGGGTAATTTTTTTTGCTTTCGATAGTTTTTTTTCTTATGTCAAGATTTTTAATTAAATGCAAAAATTTATTAATGCTTTAAATTAATGCTCATTTAATATAAAAAATTGCTCATTAAAATTGTCCTGATTTATTTTGTTAATTGAGTTTTTTTTCTTACTTTTTTTTTCAAAAATGTTAAGTTTGTTTAATATTTTAATAAAAGTATGTAGACCATCGGGAATTACTTTTGACCGTCTTCTTCCTACCCAAAGTGCAATGGTAGACTCTCAATTTACTTGGGATTATCATACATAGATTATGCATATACAAAATAAATAGTTTCAATTTCGCTATCGCACTTTTCTTCTAATAATTTGCTACTACATGCTTACTTTGAGCAACAATTTGCATTTGAGAAGCTAGCTGTAAGATTAATGTTTGGCTTGGGCCTCACTGAATTATGTAGAAATTATTTTATATATAAAAAATGTCTACCTTACATTTACATTTATTTTATTACAATATATGTGAGAAAAAACTTTTCTTTTTTCCAAATAGATGGTAACCATCATAATTACAGCACTAGAAATGCTAAATAATCAGCATTCCAAAACCTAATATAAGCTTATTAAAAGAAATGTTATTATACAATTGCGTTGATGACTTTAAATTTTAAATTACTATAATATTATAAAATAATTGTTTTGTTTTGTTTGTTTGAACAATGTAACCATTTTGTTGTGTTATTTTATTTTCTTATATTCAATTTAACTTAATCTTTGTTTAGGTCTATACACAATTAAAAAGTATTAACTTAGGCATTACCTTGTATATCTTTTTAATAAAACCAAATACATACTTAAATACAAGTTTGGGAACATGAGGTCCTAAAGACTGAATATTTATATACACTGTGAGTATCTGTGGATACAACTATTATTGATCAAACCCTACTATAACCATTATTACTTTTGACTTTATCCTACAACAATATATAACCTTTTTTAGCTCTAAAATATATTTTAAATATGGAATCAAGATTTTACTATTTTCCAGGCCAAACACCTGAAAACACGAAAATTTCGGATCGAAGTCATGCTTTACACTTGAGTCAAGATTCATGGAAACAAATTACTGGTCATTTGGATCGAAACCGATTAATACAGGAAGCAATAGACAAAAATGAGGCACATAAAAAGGCTCTTAAAGATGGATCTGACGCAATGACTAAAACATGGGAAAACTCTGTAGAAGTAAGTTATAGCAAATAAATGAATACACTCTGTAGCCTTTTGGAATCATCCAAGATTTTTATATAATGTGATATTAACTATATTATTTAAGGTGCACCGTTTTTATTTTATCTTGTAAAAAAAATTAAATTAAGTAATTTAGCGCTACATGGTAATAAGCCATTTTGCTGCAGATTTTTTAGGGAAAATTGAGCACGCCAAATCCAAAATAACCTTATTTTGATTAATCAGCTCTTGTTTTCGCAATATCTTAAAAATAGAACCCATTTTTTGATTTGCAAACATCAAAATTAAATTTTTTTATTTTTAATTAACCGTTCATTATAATAATTAACCGTTCATTATAACAATTATTGATAATGTAGCTTTGGGTCCTAATTAAACTAAAAATATTACCTACCTATATTCAGTATCAAGTTTTATAAACGCCATTTTAATTTATTTATTTTAATTTATAAGTTTTATTAGGCACGATCGAAGCTTGCGAGCGAGTGTTTAATTTAAACAAGTGCCTAGAGAAGTTTATAAAAGTTTATAATATACTATTCATAAATTTTATAATATTAATATATTATTTTTTCAAGCCTAATATTTTTTATATTTTAACGCTTATGCGTCTATATAAAAAGGCAACTGCATTTTGAAATAGTAAAAGTCAAAATACATGTTTTTATACATTTTCCGAAACACTCGTTTGTAAAACTCTTAAAATAAATTAGTCAAAAATGACAAATTTTAATATCATAGCTAAAAAGCAAATATCATAGCTAAAAAGCAGCCACTGATAATTAGTCAATTTCTATATTTCTTTTTATATTAGGTTTTAAAATATAAATATTTTACTTTAATTTAAAAAAAATTGATTTAATAAATAATAATTTGGTATTGTACAAATTAAGTTATTAAATTTCTACTAGAATGTAAGCAATAAAATAAAACATAATAAAGTTTTTATTAATTGTTTAGAATATACGAAAAAGAAAAGAGGAAGAACGGTTGGAAAAAATTCGATTATTGGAAGAAAACAAGTTTAAGGGTTTCTACAAACTTCGCGTAGAGCAGGAAGAAAAAAGGCAAAGAATTTTAAATGAAGTAAACCAACAAATATTTACCAGGAGTGGATACGCAAGACAAGTTAATTTTGCACTTTTGAGTTGCGAGGTACTCAAAGAACAAAGCATACAAAAAGAGCATTTAAAGCAATTGCGAGAACAAGACGAAAAACAGATCTGGGAGGAAAAGGAAACTATAATGAAGGGCGTCGAAGATGAAAAAAAAGAGAAAGCTGAAGAGGCTAAGAAACTACTTGAGAAAAATAAGGCATTTTCTGTAGAGTTAAAAAAAATGTAAGTTTCTTTTTTATTATAATTTAATATTAGTATATATGTACACTATATACACTAAGAATTTTTTTATATTTTATTACATATGCCTACGTATTTAGTTCCAGATTTTAAGAATAACACTATAGCATTGTAACAAAAAAGTTACTCTTAGGACTTTAGTTCGTAAACCTTTTTCTTTTTATAATTTACTATAACATAGTTCTTGATAACCTTATAAAACTATTATAATTAATTAATGATTACTATTAAAATAAGTAAATTTTTTTCATTAAATAAACCATTTCAACTTATTTGATATTTTTTTAGAATTGATCAAAAACAATTTAAGCAAGAAAAAGATAAACTGGAAAAAATTAAACGAGAAGCTAAGGATAATATTGAAGCAGCTAAACAAATAAAGGAGATTGAGGAAATTTATGAAGAAGAGGTAAAAAGAAACTTTATTTTCTTCAAATATATTGCAAATCATTTGTATAAAAATTCTAAAAGCTTGTATTCCGATTTTCCTTCGCCAGTGACGATTTAAGCATTTGTGTATTATGGTTGTTTTATTATGGTTGTTTTTTATCTCCGTATAAATTTTTGTTTGTTTATGTTTTTTGTTTCTTTATTGTAGAATTCAATAATTTAAATGTTTAGGGTTGCACAACATAAAATATAATCTTGGAATATTAAATTTTGTAGTTGTCGCATTCGAAAAACTGATCCAAGGTGACAAATTTTATAAAATTCATTAACTAATGAATATAGAAATATGACATTAACAGGATATTTAGTCCTTACCTTGAAGTTTAAATGCCTATTTAACTTGTTTTGATATTTTCATCCATTTTGCTTTTAAAGGGAGCAAACATATTGAAATTTAAAAAACGATTATTGTTTAATTTTCTATTTTAAGAATGTGTTGACAAGATAGAAGCATGAAACTTACAGGATATTTAGACCTTACTATGATGTTTAAATGCCTGTTTGGCTTATGCATATTTATGTAGGTAATTATATGCATATAATTTATGCGATTTTTTAAATTTTATTATATTTTTGCTGCTTTTAAAGCATCTGTACAAGCAAAAAAAAAAGCAAAATGAGCTACACAAGCTTTTAAAAAAATTAGCTGTTCTTATTAAACAGCCGAAACATGGGACGCATTTAAAAAACACGAAAAATTAGTAAAATAAGCGTTTTTTAGCACCGTGTAATTATTTAGAAATTTTAATTAAGTGACTTTTTTTTAAACTACTATTTTTTAGCTTTAAAATGACATCTTAAAATTTAAAATATCTTTAATAGAAAAAAAATTACAGCTTAAATTGTTAAAGCATAAAAATGACGTTTTTAAAAAGTTTTAATTCGAATAGGCCGGATTTGACACATGCGAAAAAATAAATAAGGGTGGATTTTGTCCTTTGCGACCCTAATGAACATTTCTATAAAATTTGAGCAAAATCCAAGATGGCCGAACAACGAGTTTCGACGTTTTCATATGGATTGACTCTATAATAATTATTGTCGGATTGTTTTGTAATTATTTTCCTTGTTCTTGTTTTTTAATATTATTATCCTTTAGTATTTTTTATAAACTAATAAATATTTTTATAATAATTGTTATTTTACACAATACTTTGTGTAAAAACAATTAATTATTTATTTGTACGATTATTTATAATTTTTATTAAAAATTAATCCCGGTGCATTCGCCATTTTATATGTAAAATTTTATAAACTAATTGAACCTTTTATTGTTAAAACCAGATAAGCTTCCTTACACTTCTATTTTAAATTATAATTTTAAGGCAAAATATTAAATTTGATATTCCCAATGATTAGGATATTTGAGGAGCGTTTATTCAAAAAGGGACATGTCCATTTTAGAGATTTGCAGAAATAAGTCAAAAATAACAAAATTCCTTTGCTTTTGACTTATTTCTGCAAATCGCTAAAATGGACATGTCCCTTTTTGAATAAACGCTCCTCATTTAAAACATTAAAGAATTTGTCAATAAGTTTTTTTATTGTTTTTAAAATTAATAATTAATAATATTAAATTCTTGTTGTTTTGTAAAGAAACGAAAAAAACAATTAAAGATAAAGGAAGAAGTTAGAAAGGACAAAGAACAAAAACAATTGGCAGAATTCAAAAGGAACAAAGAAGCTTCAGAATTGGATGATGTAATACAAATATACAAAGACGCCAAATTTAAGATTGATTGTTATAAAAAAATGAAGGAAAAAGAGGTTCTTTGAAAATTAACATTTGGTCCTTTAAATAAAACACATTTTTAGCTTCAAGACCTGTTAAAGGATCGCAGTAAACTAGCTGTGCAAGATATGATCAATAGAAACAATAATAGAGAAAAAACGTATCAAGAAATATGCGAAGAAATCGATTTACCAGACATGTGAGAATTAAAACTTGTTTTTAAAGGCGTTGCGTATTTCTATTATTTTTTAATTAACCATACAATGTGTCAACAGTGTAGTTTTGTCTATTAAAAATTAAAAACTTAAGATTCGGGCAGTTGTAAAAAACTTTTATTAAGAACTTGTGTCGGTCAAAAATTCAGAAATTTTAAAAAAATTGAGAATATGTAAATTTTTTAGATATTCTCTTAGGTATGCCTAAACTAAAAACCTCATAAACAGTGGAGCTACGCAATGCCGCAGATAAGCTAACCAGTATTTTCGTATTCATTATGTTTTTTCTTTTCTTAAGATATTTTTGTCTGTATGTTAAAATTTTAGGCAAGCAATTGAAAATGAGCAACGAAGACAATTAGATGCAAAAATTAAGCAAGATATAATTGAAGATCGTAAGGTATTCCTTGCCGAGGAAGAGATCAAAAAACTTAAAGAACAAGAAATTAAAAAATGGGAGATTTTAAATAGATTTAAGACAGATGAGGTTACGAAAGAGTACGTGGAAAACTATGGAAAAAAGGAAAAAGAAATGGTGCTTCTATATAGAAAAGCTCTGTTGGAACAAATGGTAAGAATACGATAATGAATTATAGTACTTAGTGCAAAAAGTGTTTTAGGAAGAAAATAAAGAAAAAATAAGGCAAGAAAAAGAAGAGGAATGTTTGCATGATTTTGCAGAAGACGATGCAAAATTCCTTAAATATGCTAATGAAACTTTGGAAATTGCAAAGAAAAAATGTTTACCAACTAAACCTATAGAGCAAGTTATAAAGCAATACAAAAAAGAAAACTTCTTATTGGATACAGACCAAACAAACACATGTCATAAAAATGATGCCAAGAAGACACAGAAGAAAAATAGAAAGCCTTGTAAATGTTGTAGACCAAAAAAAGAGTAGATAATATCTTTTATGGTTAATATACTATTATATTTGTTATTAAATATTTCATTAAAACATCAGAAAACTTGTTAATGTTAATGCTTTTAATATATTTTTTTAAATTATATTCGCGTCAAGAATGTCCCAGGTTTTGCTAGGTTTAGTAGAGTTATAACGCCTTAAGGCAACTTCATCGCTCAACAACGGTGGGCAATGCATGGCTGATGATGTTGCGGTATCAAACTTACAGCGTTCGAACTTTAGATAATGCAAACATAAAGCTTGTTTTTTTGTCCCACACTTGGAATTGTACAAAGTAAGCCATTGTTACACTAGTCGAACAATGAAAATATTGGTCCACTAGTGAAACAATGAAAAAGAAGAAAAAAAGAACAATCATTGTAAACATAAATTACAACTATTTTTTAAATACAGAATCTATGTAAATCTTTATGATACCCTACATATTTGCAAAAATAGGTTTTTTTACATTGTTTACAAATTTGGAACGAATTTATTTTAATTAAGTAGTTTTCATTGACAGAAATAATAGAGAAATATTTTTTGAAGAAGATCCCTTCATATATGTTTGTTAATTCTGACGATATCTTCTTTCTTTAAGTCAATATTTATAAAAATTTTGTACGAAGTTCGGCTAGTTGATTGGAAGATGGCGCTGAAAACAAAATACTTATTTAAAATTTGTTTGATGATAATCTCATCAAACAATGAGATGTTTTTGATATTTAAATCATTAGGCTTTCATTTTTCGTTACGTTGAATATTAGTACGTTTAATTACGAAAAATGTACCTACTTTAAACTGTTGTTTTAACTAAAATTAACTTTAAAATTATAAATTAATTTTAGATATTTTTATTAAAATAGGTTTTAGTCTTTCGGTGTATCGAAACTCGAACACGGTAATCCTTTTTACTGTTTTTTATTTTCTATAAGTCTATCAGTAAAAATGAGACTGTTTATTTTTTTGGAAAAGCTCGAATACTTAAATTAAACTTTTGTGGTATTGCTCAACAATTGAAGTGAATATAAGAAGAATTTTAAAATTGTCAGCGTAAATATTTAAAATAAAAAAATTGTAGTAGGTACATTGAATAATAGTTTACTGATGGACGTTAAGATACAAGAAAAGAAGTCAAAAAACATTTTTTAAATTTAAAGAAATGTGTAATTAAAGTAAAATATACAAATATAAGAAAAGAACCAAAACGAAAGTTTTTGTATTGCTGGTATTCGCACCAGCTGTATAAATGTTTAATATCATGTAGGCCTTAATGCTGTTACCCTGTTTGAAAGACTCATGATAAAATTATTAATAAAGTCTCGAGGAATGTTTTGCCAGATTGCTTGCAACTCATTGGCTATGCGTTGCATAGTTATGGGGGGTTGTTGAAGTCAATTGAATTTCCTGGACATTTTTTCCCAAACGCGTTCAATGCAATTCATGTATGGTGAACATGCAATCTCATGATATTCTATCCCATCGTTTACAAGCCGTGCACGATGAGGGCGGGCATTATCGTCGATAAAAACAATTCTTTCGCCTATTGCCCCTGCAAATGGCACAAATATGGGCTCTATACCCATATCCCGATATCTTTGAGCAGTCATGGTTTTATTAACGATTAGTAGGTCAGTGCGGTCATCAAAACATATGCCTTCCCATACGCATCACCAAATGGAGTTGTTGGCGCCATGAAATTTTCGTTGTATCGCTGTCCTCTTTCCCTCCATACCAATATTCGACCATCACACGTATCCAAACGGAATCTTGACTTATCAGAAAAAGGGCAATACCTCCTATTTAGAAAATTCCAATTTTGGTGTTCTGTCTTTTTGCTTTTAAGTTAGATGCATGCAACCTTCTTCTGATATTTTGAGAAGAAATTATTCTTCCAGTAGCTTGCCTAAATAAACTGTTAACTCTTGAAGCTGTAAATGTTCGGAATGCTGGAGAATTAGTTGCTACATATATGTATACCGACTCCATGCTCGACTTACGACACTTTGGGACACATTCAACCTTGTAGCGACTTCTTCTTGAGGCAAACCTTTACGTATTCAACGAACTAATTGCTCAAGTTGAACTGCTTCTAATCGCAGTAAGTTTAATGAGAATGAACTAATTGATTGCTAATAACAAGTAATTAAGGTGGTACAAGAACTTCTGCTTCAGGCTGTACATTATTTTGAAATCGCACTTCTACATATTTGAGTTAAAGAAGTAACAACAAAAAATACAGTTATACAGAGTGTGATCGACTGGTGGAAACAACATTGTTACATTAAAATTTCGGAATAATTATTATTATCCAGTTCAATTGTTGAGCAGTGTATATATAAACTATTTTGTTTATTACTAACAATTCCAATATTTTTCCTGTATTTCCTGTTTTGTCGTAAATAAAAAGGTAAATGCACTACTGTTTTCTTGAAAAATTACTTCTTCGTACTTATAATGCATTTTTAGCAGTTTTTATAATGAAATTTAGAAATATTTATGTTGTAATAAAATAACATTGTTTCTCAGGATTCAAATTACTGAAAATTGCATCAATTACAATATTTGGGAGAATAAAACTCGAAAATTAAAAATAACAAGTTTATTCAGTTGTATATTAAATAATTTAAAGTATATATACAATAAATAAGTACAAATAATTCGACGAAAAACGAAAAGTATAAAACTGGAATTTTATATTATAGTCAAGGCATAATAGGAACATAACAATATATATTATATATAATAACAATTTAGTCTTTTTTGTATAATTTGGCACCATATCTAACTTAATATCAAACATTATTATGGCAAATATTGGAAAATAAACCTAAACTAATCACTTAGTCGTTATCATCCTTCTTTTTCCTTAACTTGCCCTCTCTTTGAATGGTTTTAGTGACCATGTCAACGTGTTCTTCAGTGGTTTTATCATCCTCACTAACAATACTCGAGAGAGTCATAATGTAACTGCAAGCTATTCTTAATACGGATAACTTTGAAAGTTTTTGATTGTGAGAATACGAAGGTATGGATTTACGTAGGGTATCAAAAGCCGCACTTATAGTGTGCACTCTTGTTCTTTCCCTGGCATTAGCTTCAATTCTTCTTTCCCTCGTCATGTTTTTGTAATTTCTTTGCTCTCTTCTGGTGTCATTCTTTTTGCTCTGCGACTGCAAGGCCGGAAAACTTTCTGCCGAATTAAAAATAACTTTTTCCGTTTCCACTGTTGTTAAATTTGTCACCACTGGATGTACTGGCACCCTTGGCACTTCTTTAACAATATCACAAGTTTCATTCTTTACACTTTCAGTTTTGACTTTTTTCACTAGAGCGACCGGTTCCTCGCAAACTGGCGACGGGGGTCTAAAATATCCTGGGATAGGCGCACTGTTTTTCACAATCATACATTCACTGGATTTTTGAGGCGACCATGGTCTAAACGGGTGGATTTCTTCCGCTTTTACTTTGAGGCACATTCTTTTTTTCAAAGGTCCTGAGAAGGTATCCTGGATTTTACGTTTTTTGAAGGATTGTATGGGTGTGATTTTAACTTCCAAACTGTCCTCACTTGTATCTGTTGGAGAATGAATGTCGCTTTCAAGATAATCTTCGCCTGAGCAGAATCCCATGTCTTCCACGACTGAGATCGACATCTTAGTTGATTCTGAAAAAATAACCATAAATTAGTTTCTCATTATTTATTGTGGGTTTTAAGATTATTTACCTTTATTAAAATCCCTCAGTTCACAATTGGCATAAGTCATAATACGCCTGCATAAAGTCACTTTGTTTTATCACAGTTAAATATTTTTGAGTTTCCTTATAGAGGCGCTTGATCCGAAAGAGCAATCCTTTGGTTGAAGTTGACTTACTCGTAGCACATGCTTTACTGATTTTGACATGAATGTTGGGTTTGTGTTTGGTTGTAAAAGTTACAGGCTGGTGGAGGGAGTGGGCGAATATAATCGTGGCGCCAGCCGTCTGGCTCTTGTAGTTGCCGACCGAGCAGTAGCGTAGCTAAGAAATGAACTTAAGGCGACCAACAGGCTTATCTACAAAAGATTTTGTAAATGTTTTTTTTATATTTAAAAATTTATTTATGCAATTTTTTAAACTCTTTAAATTATAAATTTAAAAAAATATATAAATAAATAATAATAATAAATTTTTGTTGTAATAATAAAACCTTAAAATCTTGTCTAAAAACATTGTCTTCTTAATTTTATTTTCTATAGCATTATTTCAAGCAGTAGTGTATAATTTAAAAGACAAAAAGTTAACAAAATTAGTACATTTTTTTTTTAAATGACTAAAAGATATTTTAAATAAACCATAAATTAATGTTAAATGTGCCCTTTTATGCCTGATTAGGATTAATAAATATATTAGATAATAATAAGATATAGATGAATATGGATAGATATACATAGATATAGATAATATGTAAGATAAGATATGCAAGGCTAAATAAAAGTTAACTTTATTTACAAAATAAAAAAACAGGTGTTATTTAATATTCAATATATTTGGATGCTTTATTTAATAAATGTGGCGGCCGGTGGATTTTGGGCACACCCATTTCTCAGTTATTATAATATGTCTATAGACATGGGACCCACATCAAATTTATATGAGTTTATAATGACATTATATGAACAAGTTCTGCGCAAGCAGAATTTAAATTGAAGTTTGCGAAAAAAGTTAGTTATTAAGTGTGCCCCCCAGCCTCCTGCCCCCCCCCCCAAATTAAGGTAATTTAAATTAAAGTGGTACAATATTTAATTTACTGAAGTTTATCGACAAATTTTAAATTTTATTAAAAAAATTCAAGTATTGCAGATTTTATACCATTTCTATTTTTTTTAATTTATTAAAAGAAATAATAAAAATTTAAAATGGTATAAAACCTGTAATTCTTGAATTTTTTTAATAAAATTTTTTGATAAACTTCAGTGAATCATATATTGTTCCACTTTAATTTGAATTATCTTAATTTTGGGGGGCACACTTAAAAACTAACTTTTTTTCGCAATCTTCAATTTAAATTCTGCTTGTTTAGAACTTGTCTATATAATGTCATTATAAACGCATATAAATTTGATGTGGGTCCCATGTCTAATAACTGAGATATGGGTAGAGATGTAAAAAAACGGTTTTTTTCAGATGTGAAAAAAAACCTAGAAAAAAAACGGTTTTTTTTGTTTTTTTTTCAAAATGAAGTTTTGAGTAAAATTTAGAATATATTACATTTTTCATTATTGAAAATTTTGACCAAGATTAAAAAATCTGATTTCTTATTATTTGGTAGTTTCCACATTAAAAACCAATAGCAATGTAAAACTTTTAAAGGATAAATTTTTTTTTGCGATTTTTCGGATAGCTGTATATTTGTTATAAATGGTCGTATTGGAGCCGTAAAAAAAGCAATTTGAAGCTTGAAGTTTATAGTTTTGAGATTTTTAGATGAAAAACGTGCAACGCTCAATTTTAACGAATACCGTAATAAAAAAAATCGATTTTTTTTATTTCTTTTTTGGTCCACGGAATGTTCTGACCACCAATGAATAAATGTTCTAGAAGAATTGGCTATTGTTTTTTGAAAAAAAAATTCCATACATAAATTTGAAAAATCATGATAAAAGTGCTTTAAGTAGCTTTTTGAAAAATCAAGCGCTGAATCAAAAATATTATATGTAGTTACTTTCTTTAGGATCAAATCAAAACAAGCGCGGCCCTTATTGGTCAAATCGGTGGTTGTGGCGAGTGCATAACGCGAGACTGTTGTTACATTTAATAAATTTCATTTAGTGGCTAATTTTAGTCCATGAAAACATAAAAAAATTAGGCAAATGGGACTAATCTTGAAAAAAAAACTAAAATGTGAAAAAAGATCATTTGAAAAAAACAATAAAAAATAACCTGAAAAAAACAAAAAAACGGACCGTTTTTTTTCAAGTCGCATCTCTAGATATGGGTGTGCCCAAAATCCACCAGCCGCCACTACAATAATATTTATAATTAAGGCGCTTCTCACAAAAACAGCCATAGCCCAAAAATATCTTGTTGAATATTTTTTATTTAAAACATATATCTGTATAAACCTAATGATTTGCATTCAAAATATATATTATCATACATTATCTTGCTGAATGATTAGTGCCTATAATAATAAAAATATATTAACATATAAGTGAATGTAAAATTAGCGCCTTAATTTATTTAACAAATTTTTAGATTTTTTGTAAATGTATCCTAAAAATCTATTATGCATTTATGTTTGCAATTTGAAATTTTGTTTAAAAAATACAAATAAAGTTTTAATGTTAAATTTATTTTTGTTACGCCACTGGTGTTGCACTTACTCGTAGTTATAGTGTGAGAAATAACAGTCCTGCTGGGTTGGAATTTGTATTCTGTTTAGCATCGGCAGGTGTAGCTCGGATCAGCTCATCTCGCGGATACTTTTTCGCTTTTTCAGATCGTTCTCTTTCAGTAAGAGCAGACTTTAGACACAGCATGACAAGACCAAATCGACTGCTTTTCAGCCTGAAAGGCTTTAGCTCAATGGAGTATTGCCTAAGACGCGTTTTATTATTAATATGTAGGTAGTGGTGAAAATAAAATGAAAATTGGAAAAAATCGCGCAAATTGGCGCCCAACGTGTGGGGTTCGATAGAAAAACGTGTTTTACACCTTTAAACATATTAACCTGTTATTATGGATACTAACATACTTAATATATGATGAATGTAATAGTAATTCTATGAAAATTATGGGGAATTATATGATGAAAGGAAATTATTGGAAATATAATATAAAATCGTTATTGAAAAATTGTTGAAAGCGGCATCATATGTTAATAAGAAAATTTTAAAAAAACTTGATAATTATTAAAATTATAATTTATAAAAATAAGAAACTAAATTCCCACATAAAATTTAAAATATTAAATAAGAAAATATAAACCTTGTTTATAAATACAAGAATAATAAAATAAACATTATTTTTGGATTAACTGCGGAAAACCATTCCTATAAACAACTTTTAAGAGCAAAATATAATGACATCACATTTAACACGTACCATAATATTATTAAATATTATTTACCACTTAATCCAATATGGGTGAATATATTGAGATGTCCCCCAAGTGAAAATGATTATTTTTTATTTTTGGTTGTTTAACTGAGTCTAGAATATGGTTTTTGGGAAGCCACCAGGTCTAGTAATAACATAACATAAGTGGTTCTGCACTAATGCAAGAATGTTTTTTTTTAAACATACCTTTGTATATTTGAAATAAGTTATTGTATCTTTTGACCCCTTAATAACAGATTCACGGAGGATAGATTCAATTTTTGTAACACGTAGATAAATTATTTCTTTTAATTTTTAATAATTTTTATATTTAACTCGATTGCTTTGGATGTTTAATTTACTTAGTAAACTGATATTTTTAGTATGCTTTTACTACCTCAGATATTTGAAAACATATAGGTTAACCCAGAAAGAGTAACAGTCACGGAGGATAGGTTTTACACTTTTAAAACATTGTAAAAAATAATTAATTGCGGTTAAAAATCTGGAACCTGACCAAAACTCAATAAAAGGGCAGGTCAAACTCATTTAGTTTTATTAAATATCACGGGGTAACACCATCGGGAGACATTTTGTGAGATTCACCCATATAAAATAATATCTTGATGCATAATTGACGAACTTTATATTAAAAGATTAATAATATTACATGTAACGACTGTATACAGTCGTGTCCATTTATTTACATATTCATTTTTATTGCCTTCTGCCTGTAATTTTACCTGAAAGTGCAACCTGCACATTAGGGTGTTTTCTTTGTTTAAAATATAGACCAAATGCCTTCTTTATTATAATTGTTTATCAGGTGTCGAGGACTGACTTTTCAAGACACCTGTTTGTTAATTAACTTTGTCTAAAGGACACCTTGCCTACCGTCAAGAAGCATTTAACATTATTCCAGAACCTTTTTAATTGATAATTATTGTTTACCAAATGTTTTAAATATAAAAAATATTACAATAAACAAATATTAGAAATATTCCCCAACACCAAAGCAAAACACAGTACTTTTTACCAACGATGTTAACATGTTAACAGAATGTTTGGAAATATTTGATTTTGAATTTTTTGTTGTTTTAAGAGAGGTTCTAATTGCCAAAAAAATTATTAAAACTGCCAGCCTGGCATAATTAAAAAACTGTTCAGGATCAATTTCTTGACTTTTAAAAAGGTTCTCTGTATTTTATAAAATCCTTAAATCTTTTTCGTTATGCTTCGTTTTTATAAGGCAAAGTGCTGCCTGTGCAATTAAAATGGTCATTACTGAACTTAATATACCTAATGTTCATCTTCCATATTTCAACATTAATAAAGTAACAAAACTACAGAAAATAAACGTATAGGTTAAAATACAGAATAAAATACAAGTCAAGTATTTTTGTTGTCAACGCGTACGCTTACGGAATGCGGTACGGGAATTTATATATTGACTTTTACAAGACATACAAATCGTACCGGCTAGCGGCCGAAGGAAGGAAGGCAATCTATAAATCAGACTTAAGGTTAGTTCACTCTACGATACTTTCTAATGCTGGATTTATGCAGCATAAATTAACATTAAGATTAACATTATCATTAAGAAGTTAAATGAACGTAATCCATTGGAAGCTTTTATGCAACACATTAACATTAACTTTAACATTAAGTTAACATTAAGAGATGGCCAACTTTTATCTTCTTTATAGTTTTCATTCATTTTACCTAACAGATGCTAAAAAGGGGCTAATTTTGCTGCATAAAATAACCACCTTATGTTAACTTAATGTTAATGTGTGCTGCAAAAAAACTCTTTAACTTACACAATGTATTCTATGGAATAT